TCGCTATAGAGTACCCCACTACAGGCTAGACAATTATAACATTCTGACACACCCCCATAGCCAAAGTGGGGTGTAATCAGCACAGTGAGCAAGCAGGCATAGAGCAGGAGTTCACAATAGGGAGCAAAGCTAGAGTTAATCACAGCGGGCAAGTGAGGAGGAGGAGGAACTGTGGAGGGAGAGAAGATGGGAGGCAACGACTGAAGCTGCAGAGGCACGGGCACAGGAGCGGCTGACTCAGTGGCTACCGAAGCAAGGGCGACGGACTACTGGAGTAACTGGCTCCGCGGCTATAGACGAGCGGCAGGAGCAACGGACCCACTGGCGACTGGTGCAACAGGCTCACTGGCTACCGAAGCAAGGGCGACGGACTACAGGCGCTGCAGGCGACACGACAGCTACCTTCACACAACCTCCTCCAGCTGCCCCACACCTCTCGACACACACCCCCTGCTCAAACCCTAGTTCTACTCCCAAAGCACCCCCCTTTCACACACCCCCTGCTGCACCCTAGGTTCACTCACACCCCACCCCCTAGCACCACTCCGTCGACTCCCACACACCCACCCCCCTCAGCGGTAGCTGCAGCTGTGGGAGACAGAGGAGGAGGAGGAGCAGGGGAGACCACACACCCGCCACCCCCTACTCGCCACCCCCAAACCCTAACACAGGGTAGGGCGGGATGGCGGGTAGGGAGGTTACGGGGGGGGGGGGGGAAGGGGGGGGCCGACGCGCGGCCTCCCGGGGCGCCAAAGCAGGCGGCAGAAGGGACGCACGCGGCCCCCTCAGGTCGCCTCGACAGGCGACGGGAAAAGAGGGGGGGGCGGTGCACGTGCCCCCGGTGCGCCGCGACAGGCGACGGAGCATGGCCGGGGCGGGGCCGGGGCAGGGTCGAGGCAGGGCCGAAAGGGGCGGCGACGGGGCCGCAAGGGGCGGCGACGGGGCCGCTGGAGGCGGCGACGGGGCCGATAGGGGCGGCGACGGGGCCGCGAAGGGGGCCGCGAGGGGCCTGGAAGGGCGGCGACGGGCCGCTAGGGGCGGCGACGGGGCCGCGAAGGGGCCGCGAGGGGCCTGAACGGTCGGCGACGGGGCCGTTAGGGGCGGCGACAGGGCCGCGAAGGGGCCGCGAGGGGCCGAGAAGGGCGGCGACGGGGCCGCGAGGGGTGGCGACGGGGCCGCTAAGGGTCGCGCGACGGGCACGCCACGGGGCGTGCAGCACACAGAGTAGCAGCGGAAGCAGTTAGGTGGGCCCACAGGCCAAGAGCGTAGATGCTCTGATAGCATGTGAAGAAATGAGGAAATGAAGAAGAGAGGAGGGGTTGCACTAGCAGCAGTTGGCATACATATAGGAAACCCTAATTGGGTTGTACTCGCTATAGAGTACCCCACTGTAGGCTAGACAATTATAACATTCTGACAGCTTCTCAACCCAAAAATGAATGAAAGATGGTGGGGTTTTATAAGGATTACCGTCTAGGCGAGAAGGGGTCATTGCACTTTTAACGCGATATAAAAGACCCTTTGCTATATAAGAGTCTCGTGGGACCTTTTTACCGGCGAGTCTTTTATGCGAGGGATTACGGTACATGTGTTTCTAAAAATGAGTGTAGAAATGCCGAACTTGCCAACTTCAGTAATAATAAACAGGGATGGCACGTCATAAGAAGTGCCAGCTCAAGCGTTTTTCAATTTTTTTAATTAGCGTGTGGACCAGTTTAAGTTTGCACAGTACAACACATATGTGTTGACAGCTATATGGGACCTAGACGCTCTTAACACACCTTTAAATCACACTAGGTACTCCCCACGAGGTCACCTCCAAGGGTCCTTGGGTGCCTCGTAAAACCAGCCCCTATCCAAGGGTTCGCGTTTGTAGAGGGATTCCCTAAGTATGAAAACCGTCGTGTGCTCTTAGAACATTCCCAATCTCATATGCGGAAGCGATAACGACTAATTGGCTCGTATGCAGAAATTCCTCTTCACGTAAATACGTTGATAGAGGAAATTATTCACTCAAAAGGGTTGTTGTTACAATCAAACACAAGCACACATTCATAGCAATACTAATGCACAAACTAAGGCAAACATTAAACAGTTATAAAACTGGAATATATGACTTCGCCATGTTGTCTTGGTAAAACGGTTGTCAAACTTCAGGTACATTTGGCTTGATCCGCTTCCTTAGAATAATTGATTTCAAATGACACTTCATCCAAACGCCCTTGCTCACTCCCCTCGCGAGCACTCATGAAATCTGATGAGCATTCATGAAGACTCAAGTGGGAAAACCGTTTTCCCGTTGCAAAACGGAATTTACCGTTGCAAAACAGCATTTACCGTTTCGTACCTTTGTCGAAATGATCACGCAAAGTCGCGTGACTTTCTGGCGAAAGTTCTGTTTGCCAATGAGTCAATATGTCGGTGGCGATCAGCTTCGACTCGATCAGCAACTCAATCAGCACCCAACTGGTGCTCGCCAACTGTGCTTTGCTTTCGAGGCGTGAACACCAACTCGATCCGAGTTAAATAACATGTCGCGAGCATGTTAACACTTGTGTTGCTCCCACGTGTCGCGAACAGCTGCTCGCAAACTGACGAAATTGTGAAAATAGTAGGTAGAGTTAGGAGCCATAGCTAGGTAAGTCCTAGCTAGGCAAGAGAAGTTTAGGCAAAAGAAGAAGAGGGGGTTCACTAGAAAGCAGCAGGATACATATAGGAAACCCTAAGGGGTTGTACTCGCTATAGAGTACCCCACTGCAGGCTAGAGAACAATGACATTCTGACAGAAATGAACACGCTGCATGAGCAGCGACCAATCAGATCCCTTCGGAAGTCGCAGCGCGAGCAGCTTATTGCTCGCTAATGAACCGAACTCGCCGCACGAACATCAGCCAATCCCATTCCCCCAAAACTAGTGGTACGAACAGCTGCAAACTCACTCTCAATTCGAACTTGCATCTTGGGCAAGAACCGCTCGCTCTCATTGGTCCAGAAAGCACTCAACTCGAACTTGCACCCACCCAAATCCGAACTCACCTTTTGAGCAGCGAACTGCAACCTCATTGGTCAATGTTCAGTTCGCCCCTACCACTCTGAACACCACGTTTTCATCCCTGCCTTGCTCCCATTGGTCGAAATGAAGGGGCTGAACTGATTTCGCCCCTCCCACTCAGAACACCACCATTTCCCCCATGGCTCGCTCTCTTTGGTCGAGACCTCGGTTGACTTCATCTCGAAAGTAGGAAACCCGTTTCCGATTCAGCCCCCGCTGAATATTCTTGCGCACCCCATATAAAGTGAAATCGGCTGATTGAATTACATAAAAATATTTCTGTAATCAACAACCTTGACCAGCGCAAAAAGTCAAAGGGGCAAAACCACTCGCCACTCATTAAAATGCATAAAAAACATCAACTCTCATGAACTCTCATGAAAACTCACGAAAACACATGAGAAACAATGACCGCACACGCAGACTCATGAACAAACCGAAACTCACAAACTTTCATGCACTTTCTCGGAAACTCATGAACATTCATGAACTGCACTCACACAAAAAAATGCAGATAACTTATGAACCGCTAAGGCGATTCACAACCCGTAAACGCACAAATGTAAAGCACACAAATGCGCTCCTCACACTCCACAAATTACCTTCAAACAAAAACTCTCAATTTCCTTTATCATCGGCGAATAGGCGGTAGGTTGACGTGCAAACCACATTTTGCACTCAACAATATGCACTGTTTGAAATTTTGCCATAATGGGTTACATACTGTTTTTATCAGGGCGGATCCAACTTTGTACACCACCAGTTTTTTCGTTATTCATACGTCGGTTCTAACTGTACCCTGTCAAACTTATATGATCTAGCCTGTGTAGGCTGTAGCGGGTTAGATACTAAGGGGTACACAATTCTAGGGTTTAATATTTGTATCACTTTCATTCCTTAGTCAATCCATTCTCGTTCTAAGTTTCTCATGGTATCGAGCAGGTTCCCTCGTGGGAACTGTTCCAAGGGACCACCAAGATTTTTTTTTCCTACCCGGGGCGCGTGCCGCCCCTGCCCGAAGCGCGCCTAGTGTCCCGCCCTTAGCGACCCGTCGCGCCCTTCTTAGCGGCCCCTCAGGCCCCGTCGCTGCCCTCTCTAGGCCCCGCGTGGCCCCTTAGCGGCCCCGTCGCCGCCCCTTACGGCCCCGCGACCGCCTCTTACGGCCCCGCGACCGCCCCTTACGGCCCCGTCGCCGCCACTCACGGCCCCGCGACCGCCCCTTACGGCCCCATCGCCGCCCCTCACAGCCCCGCGACCGCCCCTTACGGCCCCGTCGCCGCCCCTTAAGGCCCCGTCGCCGCCCCTTACGGCCCCGTCGCCGCCCCTTACGGCCCCGTCGCCGCCCCTTTCGGCCTCGTCGCCGCCGAGCCGCGACCCCGTAGCCACCCTTAGCGGCCCCGTCGCCGTCCCCCCCTCCCCTCGGCCTCGTCGCCGCCCTTCAGCGGCCACGTCGCCGCCCCTCCGCGGCCCCGTCGCCGCCCTTCAGCGGCCCCATTGCCGCCCTTCCGCGGCCCCGTCGCCGCCCTTTCGCGGCCTCGTCGCCGCCCTTCAGCGGCCTCGTTGCCGCCCCTTGCGGCCCCGTCGCCGCCCTTCGCGGCCCTGCCGCCCTTCCTCGGCCCCTCAGCCGCCCTTCCCGGCCCCGTCGAGCAGCCGAGCCGCCGTCACCGCCGAGCCGCCGAGCCGCCCTTGCCGCCGTGCCGCCGAGCTGCCGAGCCGCCGAGCTGCCGAGCCGCCGAGCCGCCGAGCTGCCGAGCCGCCGAGCCGCCGAGCCGCCCTGCAGCCGAGCCGCCGAGCCGCCACGCCGCCGCAGCCGAGACGCCGCAGTCCCTGCCGTCGCGGCCCTGTCCCTGCCGGCCTGCCTCGGCCCGCCCCACCTGCCTGGTAAGAGCAGCGCCTCTGCCACTGCACTGCCCTACCCCGCTGCTCTCTCTGCCAGTCTACTGCTGTCATGGCCACCCCCAGTGTTCTCACCTTTGACGCTGAGGGTCGGGCTGTTGACTTTGAGGTCTGGGAAGATGATCTGCAGCTTTTCCTACAGTGCGATAGGGCAGACGGTCTCTCTCTGTTTGACCTCACCTCTGGTGCCTCTCCTGCCCCTACTGCTGATGCTGACGCCACTGTTCGCTCACAGTGGGCCACGCGCGATGCTGCTGCTCGCCATGCTGTGCGCCGCCACTTACCGACCGCTGAGCGCGCGCATTTTAGTCAGTACAAGAGTGCTAAGACCTTGTACGACGCTGTCGTTGCACACTACTCTTCCCCTGCCACTGCTGCCCTTAGCCGCCTCATACTGCCGTACCTCTTCCCTGACCTCGCCGCTTTTCCCACAGTCGCTGACCTCATTACGCACCTTCGCACTAGTGACACCCGCTACCGCGCTGCGCTTCCTGCTGAGTTCTGCGCCAAGAACCCCCCCCCTATGTACATCACCCTCTACTACATAGTCACCCGGCTCCCTGACACCCTTCGCTCGGTCAGGGACCACTTCCTCTCTGTTTGCCCCACCACCCTCACCGTTGACCTCCTCGAGGAGCGCCTCCTAGCAGCAGAAAAGAGTATAGTCGCTGTAGGAGCCTCTCGTGGTGACCCTCGTACCCCTGTCTTTGAGGGGTGCTCCCCCTCCCCCCTCTTGCCCTCTGTTGCCTCTGCTGCTGCAGCCGACCTCGTTGGTCTTGAGTCGGTCGGCGCGGCGTCTGCCCCTAGCGGGAGACGCCGCTCAGGCAAGGGCAAGGGGGGCAAGGGCGCTGGAGGAGCTGGCGGGGGCGGTGGAGGTGGCGGTGGAGGCGGCGGAGGGGGTGGGGGTGGCGGTGGGAGTGGTGGCGGGAGTGGGGGCACTAGTGGCGGCAGTGGAGGCGGAGGAGGCGGCGGTGGTGGCGGTGCGAGCGGAGGTGGTGGAGGTGGAGGCGGTGGTGGAGGTAGCGGCGGCGGAGGTGGAGCTGGTCGGGGCGGCTCTTCGCAGAGGGTCGGCTCCGGTGGTGGTCAGCGCCAGCAGCAGCAGCAGCAGCGCACTCGTGAGACCCCTTCCCCCCAGCAGCTTCGTGAGTGGTACACTGCTCGTCAGCGGGGTGGGGGTGCTGGCCCCTGTACCTACGTTCTACGTACAGGCGACCGCACGGGTGAGCAGTGTGGGGGTCCGCACTCCACCCAGCGCTGCTTCGGCCGCCTGACGGACGCTTGGCGTCATCAGTTCCCCGACGCTACTGAGATCCCTCGCTGGGGCGAGCTGTTTAGGGCGGGTGTTGCGATCTTTGATCTTGATTATGATGCTATTCTAGCTGCAATGTATGCTGTGACTATTAGTGATGAGGGTGACTGTTACCGGTGTTTTCCGCCTGACCCGGCCATTGAGGCTGCTGCTCTAGGTGCTGGTGAGGCTGCTGCTCTAGGTGCCAGTGAGCCTGCTGCCCCAGGTGCTGGTGAGTCTGCGCTCTCAGGTACCGCGTCGGCTCCGGCCACCCACACCTTCACCCTTGACTCGGGTGCTTCCCGCTCCTTCTTTCGAGACCGCACCACGCTTACGCCGCTTAGTCGGCCAGTGGCAGTCTCCCTGGCAGACCCCTCTGGGGGTCCTGTCCTTGCCCACTTCTCCACTGTTCTACCGTGTCCGGCGGCCCTTTCTGGCACCCTGTCGGGTCTTTACCTCCCCTCTTTCTCTACGAACTTGGTGAGTGGTGCTGACCTCCAGGATGGAGGGGTTCACCAGTTCACTCCTGCGAGTCAGCGAGTGACCCACTGTACCTGTGCTCGGACGGGCCGTCACTTGGCCACGTTTACCCGTCAGCCGGGGTCGAGCCTGTACACACTGACTACTGAGTCTCCTCCGGTCGCTGAGTCTGCTCAGGTAGCCGCGTCGGGTCAGGTGTTTGCTGCGGCGTCCAGGTCTGGTCCTGAGTCTGCCCCCTGCTCGTGTCGTCTCCTGTCTCACCAGACTCTCCTCTGGCACCACCGCCTTGGTCACCCCTCCCTGCCTCGTCTTCGAGGCATGGCCTCCCGTGTCCTTGTCTCTGGTCTCCCCCGGTCCCTCCCTCCCCTTCCTCCGAGGCCTGCCCCCACCTGCGTTCCCTGCGTCGAGGGGCGGCAGCGCGCTGCTCCTCACTCCTCCGAGTTTCCTCCGACAGAGGCTCCGCTGCAGACGCTTCACATGGACGTGTGGGGCCCAGCCCGCGTCCGTGGACAGGGTCACGAGCGTTACTTCCTGCTGGTGGTTGACGACTACCCGCGTTACACCGCAGTCTTCCCCTTGCGCAGCAAGGGTGAGGTCACTGAGGTGTTGATCGCCTGGATCCGCGCAGCTCGTCTCCAGCTCAGAGAGTTTCGGCTCGGATTTTCCTGTTCTGCGTCTGCACTCTGACAGAGGCGGAGAGTTCTCCTCTGACCTTCTGCGAGCCTTCTGTCGTGCACGAGGCATCCGCCAGACCTTCACGCTTCCGGACTCTCCGCAGCAAAATGGGATTGCTGAGCACCGCATTGGCATGGTCATAGACGTCGCTCGTACGTCCATGGTCCATGCGGCTGCCCCCCATTTTCTGTGGCCGTTTGCGGTTCGGTACGCGGCGCATCAGATCAACCTTCAGCCCCGGGTCTCCATGCCGGAGACCTCCCCTGCTTTGCTGTGGACGGGGAAGGTTGGCGATGCGTCTGCGTTCCGTGTCTGGGGATCTCGGGCGTTTGTCCGCAACTTGTCTGCGGACAAGCTGTCCCCTCGTGATGTTCCCTGCGTCTTCCTTGGCTTCCCCCCTGACGCGCCGGGCTGGGAGTTCTACCACCCCACCTCGCGCCGTGTTCTGTCCTCCGAGGACGTCACGTTTGACGAGTCGGTTCCCTACTACCGTCTCTTCCCCTACCGCACTGCGTCCCTCCCCCCCCCGCCGCTCTTCCTTACGCCAGGTCCCCCTCCGGTAGACCCCCTCCCCCCTCAGGATCCTGCCCCCTCAGGTGTGTCTCAGGTAGACGCAGTCGACCCTGTCGAGGTAGCTGTTGACTCTGGTGCTGCTAGGGGTGCTGAGCCTGCGGGTGCTGGGTCTGGGGGTGCTGAGCCTGGGGGTGCTGACTCTGGGGGTGCTGCGCCTGGGGGTGCTGAGCCTGGGGGTGCTACGCCTGGGGGTGCTGCGTCTGGGGGTGCTGAGCCTGGGGGTGCTGCGTCTGGGGGTGCGGAGTCTGAGGGTACTGGACCTGCTCGTGTGGCGTCTGGCGGTGCTGGGCCTGGAGGTTCTTCGGGTGCTTCGTCCCGGCGGGAGCTACTCTCTCCACAGGAGCTGCGTGAGTGGTTTGCCCGGCGCTGGAGGCGAGCTGCTGGAGCTGGAGGTGCTCCGGGTGCTGGAGGTTCTGCTGCTGCTGAGGGTGCTGGTGCCGCGGGTCCCGGAGGTGCTCGTACTGGGAGTACTGGAGCTGCTGGGCCTGCGGGTGCTTCTCGTACTGGAGCTGGTGGTGCTGCGGGCGTCGGTGCTACTGAGGGTGCTGGAGCTGGACCCGCTGCGTCTTCTGGTGGTCCGGCTGGAGCTGGAGCTGCTGGGGGTGTTGGCGCTGAGGGTGCCTCTGGTGCTGGTGCCTCTGAGGGTACTGGAGTTGGCGCTGCTGGAGCTGGGGGTGCTGCTGGCGCTGGTGCTGTCGTTCGGGGTGCTGGTGCTGTCCCTTCTGGTGCTGATGGTGCTGAGCGGCCGCGGCCGTACTTCGTTCCGCTCCTTGAGCAGGTTCTTGGTCTTCCGCCCTCTGCTATTCCGGCTCCTCCCTTAGAGTGTCCACCACCTGTCCAGTCCGAGTCACAGTTACAGCCTACCTCTCCTCTGCCTGCTCCTTCTCCCTACACTGGTCCTACTGGAGGTCTTGCTGAGCGTCGTGAGCCTGCGTCTCGTCCTGCGTCGCCTGTCCGTGCTGCTCGCACTAGTAGTCGTGGTTCGCGTCCGCGTCCTCCCCCTGTCCTCGGCACGCACCGGATGTCTCTGCGTCCCTCCACTGCTCCGCTGCGTGCCCCTTTTCCTTCTCCTCCTGAGTCCTCTCTTCCTGTTCTTGCTGACCCGGAGTCGGACTCCCTTCGTGCTGCCAGTCCTACTGTCACGCGTCTCCTTGCTACTGTCGTCACTGACCCTTCCTTTGAGTCCGCTGCTGCGTCTGCCTTAGTTTCTGAGCTTGTCAACTTCGCTGCTCGCTGTCGCCTAGACTACGCTGCTAGTCTTGTCACTGAGTCTGAGTCTGTCTGTCCTCCGTCCGTCGGGGGTGAGTGTGCCCTTGGCACGGACGTCCTTGAGGACAGGCAGGAGGAGTTCCAGTGCTTTGCTGCTGCTTCACCTCATCTCGTGTCCATGCTGCTTGCCCCTGAGGGAGACCCGGATGCACCAGACATCCCGACTCCGCACTCTTACGCGGAGGCGATAGAGGGTCCCTACTCCTCTCAGTGGCAGGCAGCCATGGATGCAGAGATGGCTTCGTGGAAGTCCACAGGCACCTACGTCGACGAGGTTCCCCCTCCTGGGGCGAACATCGTCAGTGGCATGTGGATTTTCAGGGTGAAGCGGCCGCCGGGTTCTCCGCCTGTCATCAAGGCGCGCTACGTGGCTCGTGGCTTCAGTCAGCGGCAGGGAGTTGACTACTTTCAGACCTTCTCTCCCACCCCGAAGATGACCACTCTTCGGGTACTGCTGCACATAGCCGCTCACCGTGACTACGAGCTTCACTCTCTTGACTTCAGCACTGCTTTCTTGCAGGGCAGCCTGCACGAGGAGATCTGGCTGCGCCGCCCACCTGGCTTCACTGGGTCTTTTCCTCCTGGTACCCAGTGGAGCCTCCGGCGGCCAGTCTACGGTCTCCGCCAGGCACCTCGTGAGTGGCACGACACACTGAGGACTACACTTGCGGCTCTTGGGTTTGCTCCTTCTACTGCCGACCCGTCGCTGATTCTGCGCACCGACACTTCTTTGCCGCCGTTCTACATCCTCGTGTACGTCGACGACTTGGTCTTTGCCACAGCTGACACTGCTGGACTCGCCCACGTGAAGTCCGAGCTGCAGAAGAGACACACGTGCACAGACCTGGGTGAACTGCGCAGCTACCTTGGCTTGCAGATCACCCGGGACAGAGCACAGCGCATCATTACCCTGACTCAGTCACACATGGTGCAGCAGGTCCTCCAGCGCTTCGGCTTCACGTACTCCTCGCCTCAGGCCACTCCTCTGTCTACTCGCCACTCGCTCTCAGCTCTGCCTTCGGATGAGTCCGTAGAGCCGAGTGGCCCGTACCCAGAGCTTGTTGGCTGCCTCATGTACCTGATGACCTGCACTCGACCTGACCTTGCATACCCTCTTAGCATTCTGGCACGCTATGTTGCTCCTGGGAGACACAGACCAGAGCACATGGCTGCAGCGAAGAGGGTGTTGCGCTACTTGTGCTGTACGTCGGGCTTGGGGCTTGTGCTTGGAGGGCGGAGTCCAGTGGTCCTCACTAGTCACGCAGACGCTTCTTGGGCTGACGACCAGGCTACGCAGCGGTCGTCACAGGGTTACACCTTCAGCCTTGGTTCCGGCTCTGTTTCGTGGCGGTCTACCCGCTCGTCTTCTGTTCTCGGCTCCAGTTGTGAGGCTGAGATCTACGCAGGGGCCATGGCTGCACAGGAGCTACGCTGGCTCACCTACCTGCTGACTGACCTAGGAGAGCCGCCTCGTTCTCCTCCAGTTCTGTACGTAGACAACAAGGCTATGCTGGCCTTGTGTCGGGAGCACAGACTAGAGCACAGAACGAAGCACATCGCTCTTCGCTACTTCCTTGCTCGTGAGCTGCAGCAGCGAGGTCAGCTGCGCCTTGCTTACGTGGCCTCTGAGGCCAACACTGCTGATATCTTCACCAAGGCACTTGCGCCTTGTGACCATCAGCGCTTCTGTACTCTGTTAGGTCTTGTACCTACCTTGCCTCACTTGCTCACTTCTTGACCTTGCTTGTACTGTTACACATATATATACCTGCTCTTGCTTGTTTATCGTTATATATATGTGTGTACTCATGCATGTGAACTGGCCTTGTGGCCTTGAACTTGTGCTCAGAATGTGTGGTGACGTTGTGATCTACCCTGAGCTTGCTTTGCCTTGCTTTGCTTGATTGGTCTTGTGACCCCTTGTTCTCCCCCACTTTGCCTATGGGGATGTGTCAAACTTATATGATCTAGCCTGTGTAGGCTGTAGCGGGTTAGATACTAAGGGGTACACAATTCTAGGGTTTCATATTTGTATCACTTTCATTCCTTAGTCAATCCATTCTCGTTCTAAGTTTCTCATACCCTTGGGCGTACCCCGAACATTCCCTCTCCAGGCATCGTTTGTAAAGTTCGAACTTTTGACAAGATACAATAATGATGCGATGTACAGTACCTAGAAGGGGGTTACCGAATATCATGAGGGTTTTCCATCATTCAATCTGTCGATTTTTCTTTATACAGTGTGAATCAAAGGTTTTCCGATTTGAATCCAAAGCGGAAACGAGTTTCCTGCTATTGAGGAGAAGTCAACTAAAGTCGTGACCAATGGGAGCGTGCTATGGTGGAAATGGTGGTGGTTTGAGTGGAGGGAAAAAAAAAAATCAGTCCCTACGATTTCGACCAACGTCAGCAAGGCACATGTGAAAACATGGTGTTTAGAGTGGGAGGGGCGAAATGAACATTGACCAATGAGTTTACAGTTCACTGTTCTGAACATCAAAGTTCAGAACATCGCTGTTCAGAACACCACTGTTCGAAGGAGCTGATTCGGGGCTGCTTGAGCAGCTAGTTCGTCACCATTCGCGCTTCGAGTGAGTTCAGTGCTAGCTGAACACTTGCTCGAGCATCCCAACTCGAGGGAGGCGGTTGCGCATTGAGAAAAACAGGTACATAGCAGACCATAATTCACACGAACTTGAAACTCGCCATCCGCCACGACCCAACAGTCATCGTTTTACCTGAACTACGGACAAGACCCCACTGTACCCATGACCCCAAATCCCGACAACTCGGTGCCACGCGTGCAACAGTTTGCCAAAATTTTACAAGCAGCACGGACCCGAGCAGCAGACACAATAAAAATATCAAACATCATCGCTAAACGCTACGCCGACCGCCACCACCGACCTGTCACTTACCAGCCCGACGACCTAGTTCTACTCGACACCCAGAACCTCCGCCTGCCCATTACCCCAAAACTCCGCCCCCGATATTGCGGGCCATTTTGCATCAGCCACATGATCACACTCGTCACCGCCCACCTCCTCCTCCCCGCTGACTGGTACGTCAGCCCGTCATTCCACGTCTGCGTGCTCCACCCTTACGTGCCATCCACCAGCCAACTGCCCCGCAACCGCCTAGCCAGCATGACACGACAACCGACAGAACCAATCATCACGCCCGAAACAATCCTGAGCCACCGATTTCGCGACCCACCAGGAGCCCGAAGGATCAAATTTCTGATCCGCTGGCCAGACCGCACGCCCATTGAAGACAACTGGGTTCCCCCTGGATAGAGTTGAAAACCACCCCGTCCTCACCGAGTATCTGTGAAACCGAATTTTTTGGGATGTACACGCGCTTTCATAAGGAGTGCCTCCTTAGGGGGGGGGGGGGGGGGGGGGGGGGGGGATAGTGTAAGGAAAACTCATTTTCCTTACTTCGCGTCCCTGCTCAGCGCGTACACCACTGCTCCCGCCAACAGCACCCAACAGTAATCCGTTACCACTCGCGACACTCGCCTCGACACTGTTCCCGCCACTGTTCACGACGCGACCCAACCTCACGGTTCGGTTGGTAGCCCGCGCTCCGGACCTCCGCCTCGACATTTCCCAACCTCGGCGCTAGGCCCGTCGCGCGCCCCATTTTTCCACACATTACCGTTACCACTGTAATTTCGCTATATATTCTTCGCTCATGCCTTCGCTCATTGTACTCTTGCTTCAATAGTGCACTTCTTGCTCGCTCATTCCAATTGCACTCGTAACACACAGCAACAAGACATTAAAAGAAGTAAAAAGTACAGCTACAACAAACAAGGACTTTGTCTGAACAAGGCCAAGCTGTGAACATAACCTGTGATGGTTACAACGCTAGAGAAGCTTGGTGAAGGTGTCCATAGTGTTGGCCTGCGAGGCCATAAAGCCCAAGAGTGCCTAGCAGTGTCACTGTAGCTCTCCCTGTAGGAAGTACTACGGCCATGAGGGAACTTCTCCCGGAAATGAATGAGTCCTTGCTTTTGGCACTTGGACAGATTGTCATATGAAGGAACTCAACACTGAACCAGATCCATATCATATTGGTTCTCTGCGAGAAGACGTTTTGCATCAAAAACTGACACAGGGAACTTCGAATATGGCAACTGAATCAATGAATACCTGTGAAGGAACAGGTGCCAGGTAAAAAACGTGTCGACCGTTGCATTAGATGCATACGGTCGAGCACGTGATGTCATTCAGCATGCCGACTTGCACACATGCAAAAATTCGCTGTCGAGCAGCTTTGGTCGACCAGTTTGACGCCACTCTGTTGAGCAGCGTTTGCCGAGACGAAGCCCGTCAAATAATGTTCATTGGCCGGTGCTTCTCGACGAACTCACCGATCGATGTTCGTTGCTTGTCGATGACCATTGCCGTCGACCAATGACTTCCGTCAACGACGTTCACTAGATCCCGTTGGGCAGGGACTACTCAACCATCACTTCCGTCGACCAGCAAAAGCTCACTCGAGGACCACTTCGTCAATTTCTTCTCGTCGTCGGCAAGATTGGCTGCGCCCAAGCGAAGGCGAGGGCCTACTTTTCGACAAGCGGAAGTCTTAGTTAACCTTGTACATAGTGAATGAAAATGGGAAAATAACAATAACAGACATTACATTAAAATGTATAGTCCTAGTTAGCCATGTACTCTAAGGGGTACATTCCCTTATTAGCTGTAACGACATTGCTACAGTTACCGTGACTATTGTGATTTCAATCGTTTCCTTGTTGCAACGAGTAACCTCCGAAGTGGTTGTGACCTGCAAAACATTTTGCAACCTCTGTTACAGGATGGTCAGCAGTCATGACAATTGATTCCCGATTGTTGACCTTTCCCATTCTCGCATGCTCTAGATGCGCTAGCACGATAGTGGTTAAGGTGCAACCCGTTATGAGAAATTGAGCTACAGTGATACCTTTGGAAATGCTGGTCTAACCTCCTGTTTTTTCCAACCCCTTCACTCGTGAAGGTGCGCAATGTTGGGAATCTTGTCGACTTCGCATAGTTCCGCATAGTACTGAAACTTCACACGTGGCCATTTCTACATCAGGAAATCTGCCTCTTGATTAACTGGACAGTAGGTAAATTTGACCTTGCCTTTATCAATTTTGTTCCTCACAAAGACTTAATGGAGAGCGATGTGCTTCGTGCGGTTCACGCAGACAAGTTTACGTGCAATTTTGATTGCACTCTGGTTGTCACAAAGTAACTTGGACCCGTCCATCTTGATTTTCGCTTCCTGCAAGTAAAGTTATTCGCTAACTACTGCGCTGATGGCAATGGACTCCAGTTTGGCCTACAAAGGGGCGATGAGCTCCTGCTTTTGCGAGTTCTAGGAGATGGGTCCAGTAGGTTCCAGTCGAAAAATCACTCCAGTGCAGGAGGGTTTGTTGTCACTATGTCCAGCATGATCAACGTCCACACAGTCTTGTAGCTGCAGAGTAGCGGTTAGGTTTGCCG